CACACTACAAACATTTTTCGACGTGTTCCGATAAATAAAACCAAGGTTGTTGTTGTTGTTGTTTGTTTGTTGTTTGTTCTTTCCTTCGATTCTTGAAAATGAATTGAGAGATAGAGAGAGAGAGAGAGAGAGGAGAAAAAATTCTTCTTCTTCTTCTCTTTTGTTTAATTAAAAAAAAAAAAAAAATCTCACGAATGCAAAGGTTCATTAAACCTTGACCTCCCGATTCCCCCCCTCCAGTCGTCCCCCCAATCGTTTCCCACGTTTCCTTCTCGTTTCCTTTTCTTTTTCTCCATCGTTCGTAAATCATGCTACCCGTTTGAATCACCCACCGTCTTGTCTTGTCTTGTCTAATTAACTAGATTTGACCGCTTATTTCTATATAAAAAACTTAATCGAGAACGAAGTTCCCCCCAGTCGCCGAAGGGGGCAAATTTAAATTCGTAATGAAAAAATTTGTTTGTTTACAACCCGTGTTCATCTCTTTTCTCCTTAAAAAATCAATTTCCGGTTGTTGTTGTTGTTTTAATTTCGATTTGACGACTAAATTTTCGACACCTTTTTACTAAGGACGTTGAACGCCTTTGGTAAATTTCGTGAACGTGTTTTCCCTCCCGTAAAAGGATTTTCTTTTCGTTTGTTGTTTGTTTGTTTGTTTGTTTTAAAATGGGTTGTAATGTAACCTCGCCACATTTCGATTGTTAACCTTCTGTTGACATATGTTTTATCTCGCCGGGGCCTCCAACATTACTTTTACCAAAGATCTTCCGTGTCAAGGTTATCATCATCAAACTCCTCGTTCGAAGTAACAAACAATTATCGAAACGAGATAAATCGAATCGACGAGAAAACACGTGACCCAATGAAATCGAAAAAAAACAAAAAAATCGATAAATGGCGCTTCCGGTTGTAAAATGAAAAAAAAAAAAAAAAAATATTTTTCCCGGAGAAAAAAATTTTCGAAAAAAAAATAATGATAATAATTAAATTACCTTTCGTTCGGTTATTTCCCAAAGATTTTTTCTCTCTCTCTCATTTTTTTTAATAAATTATTCGTCGCCATTTTGAAAAAATTTTTTTTTATTTTTTTTTTTTTGTGCTAACGTTGCAGAATAAATTTTTGTAGTTAATCGATAGGAAGTAAGTGCGAAAAGGTTTTTTTTTTTTTTTTTTTTTTTTTTTTTTAATTTTTCGGTTTCGGTTAAAACATTTTCTTTCTCCTTTTTTACAAAAGAGAGAGAGATAGAAAGAGAGAGGGAGTGAGTGCTTGGGGGGAGGGGGTGAAAGGGGTCGAAAAAGGTAAAAAGATGGAGGGAAACTGTTAGTGAAAAAAAAAAAAAAATAATAATAATAATAATAGAAAGGAAAAAATCTTAACCGCAGCAATTTTTTCAATTTTTTCAATTTTTTTTTTTTTGCTTTCTTTACTTTTTCTCTCGCTACCCCCACCCACCCCACCTCACCCCCACGTTCTTAAAACCTTCCAGTAATCAATTTATTAAAAAAAAAAAAATGATACGTAAAAGAAAGAAACAAAGTAATGAAAAATAATAATAATAACAACAACAACAACCAAAACAACAAAAACAACCACACCAACAATTTTAATAATCCGCCATAAATTTTTTCTTCTATTTTGCCGCCCGCGTACGGAAAAAAAAAACATAATGATAATAATAATGTTACGCTGCGTTACAACGAATTACGATTAGATACGAGCATTTATTACTATTATTACTATTATTATTATTATTATTATTATTATTATTATTATTATTATTATTATTATTACCCATTGAAAATGCCCGTTAACATTCTCTCGCCTTCAAAACAAGCGTAACGTGTGTGTGTGTGTGTGTGTGCCCCCCTTCAAATCCCCGCCGAATCCTTGCTTTAACAACCCTTTAGGTAACAATTCAAACTTCGAAAAGCGTAAACGCCATAGTCGAACGCCGTGCCGTCGGTTAATTATAGGTTTACCGCCGCGTAGTAAAATCCCCCCTTTCGGGAAAAATATCGTACGTCCCCTTCGTTCGATTTGACGTGATAATAATCGATAAATCGATAAATCGATGAATCGATACATGTAGATTTTTATAAGATAGCAATTCGTTTTGATATCTATATATAAATATTTACTCGAAGTGATTTTTTTTGCGCTTGCGAGGAATTTTTCGCATCGATTTCTCTATAACCGGAAATGATGAGTAAAAAAAAAAAAAAAAAGGGCGGTGGTCGCGAGACTTGTCATAATTATCTTCCTCGGATAAAATTTATTATAATAATAAATTTTTTTCGGGGCCTTTTCCTCCCGCCCCCTCCCC